CTAAATGCATCCTCTGATGTTATCCCCATATATCTTGGTGTCATTAGTGAGCAATGCCATTGCAAACTCCTTGCTCCTGGTAAGGCTATCCATAGTAGCAAAGTTGGATGGTAATGTTAGACAAAGACAAGTCCAAAAAGTCATCAATGTCCAGATGATCAACTGTGTTTTTAACTGGGTGGAGGACAAGCATTAAGTGCAATTATTTTTTACAATCGGACTCTGGCAGCGAAAACAAAATCTGTGTTATAATCGAATTACGGCTGAAGTATGAGCTCAGTTTGCTATGATTATATTTGGACAACTGGTTAGTGGATGAATGGACCATGTGATGTGCCAACTAAACCCTCCAAACAGTGGAAGGAGACACTGCAGAAGCAGGACATCTAAGAGGATGCGTTCTCTCCACCCACCCTGCAAACTCGAGTCCTACTTTGGTCGTCAATTGCACACTACAAGCAGTATTTTAAGAATCAGCTACTGTTTCAGAAGAAAATATATCGATCAACATTTTGAAAGCATTTGGCACTGAACCTAGAGAACATCAAATCCCCAGTCCGAAACCAAAATCATCTTTAAGATCTGTACACCATTGAATTCTGACTTGAAAATTAAACAAGACCTGCCCTGTCCTCCTACTTTGTAACTTCTATATGCATGTGCATCTATGAACCTTGGATGTTTGTGTGAAAATTGAAGCATTTTTTCTCATTTCTTTGTTTTAACAAGGATTTCTTCTTACAGTCACAGTGTGTAAACACCTCATCACTCACAAAGGTGTGGCAAGGTGCTTTTGTGTCAAGGTGATTAAATGTGGAGTGGGAAAGAGGGAAGCTGTTCTACTCTGCAGAACTGGTTATAATACTGCATTGTCAGAACTGCCATTTCTCATGCACAATATTTAAACAAGGCCTACTCTCTATTTGTCCAAGTGAATGTAAAAGGAGTTCAGTGTCTTAACTTTCACATTACTAGCCAAACACAGATTGACTAATCATTTCATTTAAATCATTGTCTGCAAATTAGCTTTAGCATTTGCCTACAAAACAAGACATACTTCAAAGAGTAAGATGTTGGCATAACCTGAAAGTTGTTAAAATAGAAAGCATTTTTGTATTAATGGATATTATGAGGAACAAAGAAAGCTACCCTCTAAAACTGGAGAACAGAATTGCAGCTCAATGACTTTCAAGTTTCAGGCATTTTCTTTAGCCCTAGAGCATGACAAAGGGGATACCACCTACTTGACTTCTTTCGCCTGTCACACTACAAACTCCAGGCAATATTTCCTGAACAGAATAGTCTCAATTAGACATAAACCATAACTCATCCTTGATTGACAAATTTTGCTGGCCAAAAATGAAGATAAACCTGCAAGTATTGCAAGCTTGAAGCTGCAAAACCTGCGATATATGTGAACTCAGTCCATCCATGCCTTCTATCATGAGCACACAACTCTCAAATGTGGAAATCTGAATAAAAACTGAACCTCAGCCCAGTATTTGTGGCGCATGGAAGATAACCGTGTCACTTGACAAATTTTACTTTCCTCTGACGCCTACCTAATTTTGCCAGCTCCCACACCTGAATTAAGATTTGCTGACCAAATTTCAGCATCCTTGGTTGACAAATCTATTTCCTTAAGTTACACTATTAGTGTTATTTGAAGACACTTAGCACCATCTGGTGGTCAGTATTTGACATCACAAAGAAATATGACAGGTTGATGAGAAAGTATTTTTTAAAATGGCATTACCTCTGTCCACTTCAGCTTATCGCAAAAAAAAAATTCACGGTATCTCTTCACCAGTAGAGTTTTTGAAAGAAAGCATGTATTTAACAATCTCTTCTTGGATTTATTCTTGCCAATTATTGTATTGACAATTGCAACTGAATTATGTCAAATATCACATTAAATTGCATTGAAAAAAGTTTAAGGTCTGCCTTAGGCAGGTTTGCTTTTAACAAAACAATGAAAAATGAAAGAACTGACAACGTTTTCACTACGTTACCAAATATCACTTTATATAGATATTGTTAGGAATATTGGAAAGAGAAATCCTCTGCTGCTCAGGTCAATTTAACTCTTCACTAACTTGACCTGTTCTGCATCGATTCGTGTGGGCATCCTGGCTGTCATTCTGCAGCCAATCCTAAAAATCTATTTTCCACTGCTGCTCTATTTTGTTTTTACTCTTCATAGACATTCTTGTCACGTCTCATTTAATTTCCCCATTCTCAGATATTTAGTCCTCCAAACTCCTTACTTCAACTTGTCAACATCCCTTGACATCATAAAACAAAAGAACTGTGGACATGGAAATGTGCAACAAAACAGAAATTGCTGTATCATCTGCGGAGAGAAAACAGAGTTAATGTTTTAAGTCCAGTGACTCTACTTCAGGTTCTGCAAGGTCAAAGGACTGAAACCTTAACTGCTTTCTCTCCACAGATGATGCTGCCAGACCAGCTGAGTTTCTCCAGCAATTTGTTTTTGTTTCAAGACTTGACACGTTTGTCTTATTGTTCTCCCACGTTTGCAAACCTTCCATTGTCTCACTAGAACTCTTAACTGTGCAATCTCCTTCAGCCCTGAAACTCTTATCTGGTGTCTTCTAATTCTGGTTCCTTGTGCATCCAATTTTAGTAGCTTAACCATAGGCGGCTGTGTTTTCAGCTGCCTAAACTTCAAGCTCAAACGTTTTCCCCACACCTCACTTGCCTAGTGGTGGTTTATCAGCCGACTATTAATCCAGAAGCTTAGCTCATGCTCTGTGGACCTGGGTTCAATCCCATGACAGCAGATGGTGGAATTTGAATTCAATAAAGAATCTGGAATTGAGAGTCTAATGATGGCCATGAAGCCATTCTTGGAAAAATTCATCTCATTCACTAACATCCTGTTGGGAAGGAAATCTGTCATCCTTACCTGGGTCTGCTCTACATTTGACTCCAGACTCACACCGATTTGGCTGATTTTGAACTGCCCTCTCAGCAATTAGGGATGTGCAATAAATGCTGGCCTAGACAGCGACATCCACATCCCATGAGTGAATAAAAAAAATCACATTCTTTTAAACTTTTCTGAAGAAAAAAAACTGATCATGGTTCAGTTTCATATTGCATTTAATAATGCTTCTATGAAACAGCTTGGCATTCTTTGTAATATTAAAGGAAAAATACAAAGAAAAATCAAAGAACAATACAGCACAGGAACAGGCCTTCGGCTCTCCAAGCCTGCGCCAACAAATTTTACCCTTCTATACTGAAACTGTCTTCACTTACAGGATCCCTATCCCTCTGTTCCCTTCCTATTCATGTATTCATCCAGGTGCTTCTTGAATGCTGCTACTGTGTCTGCTTCCAACACATCCTGGCAGCACGTTCCAGGCGCTCACCACCCTGTGTGTGAAAAACATGCCTCGCACATCTATGTTAAACCACACCAATGCCCCCCACCCCCCACCAGCCTACCTCACACCTTGAACCTGTCTCTCCTAGTAACTGACCATTCCAGCCTGGGAAAAAGCCTCACACCTTCCACTCTATCCATGCCATTCACAATTTTATAAACTTTTAACAAGTCACCCCTCAACCCTCTGTGTTCTAGTAAAAACAAACCCAGTCTGTCTAGCCTTTCTTCATAGCTAAACTCCCCCATCCTGGTAAACATTTTCTGTCCCCTCTCCAAAGCATCCACATCATTCTGGTAGTGCAGTGACCAGAACTGTATGCAATATTTTAAATGTGGCCAACTAAACTTCTATAAAGCTGCAGCAAAACTTGTCTATCCTTATACTCAATGCCCCTTCCAATGAAGGCAAGCATACCATAGGCCTTTTTTACTGCCTTATCTACCTGCACTGCCACCTTCAGCAGTGTGGATTTGCACAACCAGATCCCTCTGTACATCAATACTAAGAGTTAACTGTATAATTTCCACCTGTACTTAACCTTCCAAACTGTATCACCACACATTTGTCCAGATTAAACTTCACCATTTTTTTGCCTATGCTGCCAACTGACCTATATCCTGTTGCATCCTCTGACAATCTTCCTCACGATCTGCAACTCCACCACCAATCATTGTATCGTCTGCAAACTTACTAATTAGACCAGCAAGGGGAGACCCACGTCCCAAAGCAGCAAGAGGGGAGATTCAGGTCCCAGAGGAGTGCGAGGGGAAGTGCGTGCTGGAGCAGTGCGAGCATGAGTGAGTCCTGGAGCTGTGCAAGTTACCTCAGCTCAGCTGAGCGCTGGTGCAGAGCAGACTGGAGGTTTGGAGCAAAACGGGACAGTTGCTGGACTGGGGCCTGGTGCAGGCTGTCAGACCACGTGCTGAGCTGCTGCTAGTTGAAATTCTTTACTGGACTGTACGGTCAATCCTCTAAGTATGTTATAACTACCTTATTTCTAACTTATTTTTAGATACTAAGTAACGGTACTACTTTCCCTTTTATTTATCTTTTGAATCCAAGATTTGTACCTAGGTACTTATACCTAACATCATTAAAGGTGGCCATGGTAAAAACTTTTCACTGTATTCCTGTACTGGAAATGTGACAATAAAGGCAATTCTATTCTATTCTAGCCACTTTTTCCTCCAAATAATTTATGTAGACCACGAACAGCAGTGGTCCCAGAATTGATCCCTGTGGAATAATCGTCCATTTTGAAAAGCATCCTTCTATCGCTACCCTCTGTCTCCCATGACTAAGTCAGGTCTATATCCATCTTGCCAGCTCACCCCTAATACCATGTGACTCCATCTTTTGTACCAGTCTGCCGTGAGGCACCTTGTCAAAGGCTTTACTGAGGTACATGTAGACAATATCAACTGCTTTTCCCTCATCAATCATCTTGATAACCGCCTCAAAAAGCTTGATCAAATTAGTGAGGCACGACCTCCCATGCACAAAACCATGCTATCACTGATAAGTCCATTTCCGGCTGAATTTGTGATTACATAGAACCAATGCAAAATAAGACAGACATTAGTATTTCAGTTTAGAAGTTTATTATTTAAAAAGAGGCTGCTCAAAGGATATTTGAATGATTTATTACCAATCCAGTGGTAACATGTATTGCTCCATAAACAAAGATTGATATGCAATGTATAAAGTACTGGTAGACACAACAGGAATGTTAACACAATGATTTCATGTGATGGGAACATTATTGGCTTCAGGGCATTAATGCAGATAATTAAATTACAGATGTCTTATACAGTTAAACAGCAACTCTTTAACAAAGTTGAAATGTTTGGCTATAACTAGTAGGTTCAAGTAGGTTGCAACAATGGTTTCAAAGTGTGGCACCTCATGCTTCTGAGCAATTTATCCAGTTTAAGTGCAAAAGACACACTTTTTATCTCTCGCATGTGCTTGTAATTACATTTTTTTAAATTATACAACTTGCTTTTAAGTGTCAAATTCAGAATATTTGCTTCTTTGACCTTGTGCTTTTTTCAATGCGTTGTAACAACAATCTCAAGAAATCAGGAAAGATGGTGACATTTCCAAAATAGGTAAGAATTAAAGTTCAGTACTATCTTTAAAACATATTACAGTCTGTTAGAAAATGCAGTTCTGTAAACATTCACACCTTCATGACATCTGACTAAAACATGAAATAGTACATTTTAAAAATCTTGATTGCAAACAACTGATGCACTCAAATATATAAAGTAAGGAGAAATCGAAGGATACAAAGAAATTGAACTGATTGTACTGCTTGCATTATTAAAGTCAAATACTCATTTTTGTTGCTGCACCATCATTCCAATCAGCTGCCACCAAAAAGAATAGTCCTGTTTTGCACTTTTTTTTTAATTGCAGGCATTCTGAATCACTACCTGGAGATCATAGAACTGGAGTGTGATTGGCTAGATGATGTTGTGGCAGCACTGAGTTGTGAAAATCCACTGTGACTAGATTCAAGACTAGTCATGGATCCCCTGAAATAAAAAATAAGTTTTTTTTTGGGTTTCAATGCAATACAAACATTCATTTACATAAAGTAACTTGCACATTCATTTGGACATTGCTTATTGGGAATCTTTTATTCAGCATCCAAAACAATACTGTAACTGTATTTTTACATGGAATTTTACAATACCAAAGCAGCATCAACTTCCCACTGAAATTATACAGGCTCCTGTCAGCATTATCCATTTAATCATACCCCTGTCCTTTGCCCATACTCAAATTATGGTTTCTAGTGGAACATTCATGCTATTAAAATCCTATGTTTAAAAAAAACTCTCTACTTTGTTCTTCTGTTGACAATTTTCAATTTATATTTTTCTAACTCACCTAAGTAGGTTTTTCTCCAAGAATAGTTCTGATATCCATTGCAAATCTGAACTTCTGAATCAGACCTAATCTTTTAAGGGGGTTAGAAACTCCCAATCACTAGTCCATCAATATTTAAAAGCTGCTGATTAAATATCAAACAGATTTTAAATAACACCCAGTCAGTGGGTGTAATTATTTTGATTTTTACCTCACTTTTCAATTTTTTTTAATGTAAAGCTCATAACCATATACACTAGAGTAGATGAAACTGTTTTAGTGCCTCAATTTGTATCCTAAGTATCACCATCGCTTGATCTGATTTCATGAAACTAAAACAAATAAAATCTTGAAAAAGGAAAGCTTAGTCCAAATTATAGATATTTCAAAATTGATTATAGTAATCTAGCAAATTTTATCCATGTTTTTGCAAATGTCCCAGCAATTTGATTAATGCTCTTCCAATCTTACAAAAACAGACTCAAAAGGGTAACTTTCTCATTCATTCAGAGAGGACATCAGAAAGTCACGTGTGCAGGATGCAAGTTTTCCTAACCGGATGGCAGATGATAAATTATGTTAAAACAGACTTGTTTATTTAATGCAATACACTTTTATTGGTCTTTAAAAAAAACACTAGTCAATGCAAGAGAACTCATGACAACATGAGAGTGGTGAATCTATGGAATTCACTGCCATAGAAGGCTGTGGCAACCAGGTCATTGCGTATATTTAAGATGAAGATAGATAGGTTCTTGATTGTCAAGGGGATCAAGGGTTATGGGGAGAAAGCAGGAGAATGGGGTTGAGAAACCTATCAGCCATGACTGAATGGCGGAGAAGACTCCATGGGCTGAATGGCCTAATTTTTGTTCCTATGTCTTATAGCCTTATGGTCTAACAGGAGACTTGAAAGATCTTCACTTAACACTAGCACTGTGGTAAAGTGCAACTCAACTATTTTCCAATATGTAACTTGCAAATTGGAACTCGAGCTCTTTCCTTTCCTTTGTTGGAACAAACCAAAAACAATCAATTCAAAGTGTGACCATGGAAAATTACAACTTTTTCAGTAACCCAAGTAAAGCAGGTTACAAAGTGTAGAGCTGGATGAACACAGCAGGCCAAGCAGCACCATAGGAGCAGGAAGGCTGACGTTTCGGGCCTAGACCCTTCATCAGAATTTAAACATTAAGTATATAATAAACATTGTTAATTTATTTTCAAGCACCTCACCAAAACATGTATAACAAAACATGGATTTTGACTCAATTCCTTATAATTAAATTTTGCATCCTACTGAGGCAAAGTAGGTAGTGATAGTGGTTATAATGGCATCGTAGGTAGAGGGTTACAAGATCTGTGCAGGACTGAGGAATTTCAGGAAGATTGTCTGCAGTTCAAACGCGCAACTCTTCTCAATCTTAGAGAAGTACTGGAATAATTCCCAACCTGATCCAAAATCAAGGCAGAATTTCCATGGAAGATTGATGAATGAACAAATTCATCCATATTCAGTAAAGACTAATTGTATTTAATATACATCTGAGCATATTTAGACATAGACATAGACATATTGAATTCTCAATAGTGTCTTTATATGTTGTACCTGAAATCATCTGATCCTATGACCTCAGTGTAATACATAACTTTACACTTATGGGAAGGGACCTGCAATGTTGCCAGCACATCATCTACACGAGGCAGGTTAGTTGTAGCACAGGAAGGCATATTGTGAAATTTCCACTGTAGGATATAAAAGCCAGGCCATCTTGTTACATGTGAACCCTGTAAGATAAAACAGAATTGGTTATAACTTTATAACAAAATAATTTTTTAAAAATGTTTCAAAAATGTGCAAAAACCACGTAAACAAAACATTACAGCAAAGAAGAACTTTTAGAGTGCTTCACATTGGATTGATTTGACTGGTACACCACAACTAATGTTAGACCAGGTTACGCTGGCCTCACAATATTGCTCTCTGATATTACCAAACTGACCTGGACACTTTCGCCTTCTTTACAGATGAGTGGTGGCTCCACCATACTATAGTCCTTGCCCAGTTGCCACGATTTATCTATAAGCTGCACATTATTTCCTCCAGGGCCTGTTATCCCATGTGCTCCAAGGGTATCCTTTTTTGGAAGCTGGGGCGCTCGTTTTGAATGGTAGATGTTGAAGGCAATATCTCCTTTCACCACATCAAAATCCCAGGTTATCACAGAAGATGCTTCCACTATTTCAATTAATAGCTTGATGCAAATAAAACAAAATATGATTTAATTAATATGCAAATAAAATGCCCTATTTCATCTAAACATCATACCCTGATGATTAAAAGTTAAAATACAACAATACAAACATTAAGGAACAGAAATGTGAACAGCTAGAGACAGCACAAATACTACCTCATGAGGTGATCCTTTGAAAACACTTGCTGACTGATAAATAGTTTCAGTCAATAGTCTGATATCATCATTGTCAAGTTCTTCTGCTGTTCTATACATCGATTTGGGAATTAAACCACCCTCGGGAACTTCACACTAAAAAGGTAAATTATTAAATAAGATTTGTTAAATCATACAGCACTCAAAAAGACATTCCTGTAATCTAAAAACCTAAAAAGTGGATAACTGGAATGCTTTCAAATAACTCCTTACAAATACTGTCCTTTTAAAAATATTAGAGTAAAAACATACTTTGCCAAATGGTAGATTACAGACATATGGTCATAATTTCCCACATGTTAAGTTCTCAATCTTAGCTGATCTTAGCTTCTCAATCTTCGTTCGGTTAGTACCTAAATAGCTACCTTCCTTTCCTTTGCAGGACAGTGACAAAGGGATTACAAGACTATAAAATTTACTGCATATTTGATCATAGATCATAGAATCCCTACTGTGTGGAAACAGCCCCTGTGGCCCAACAAGTCCACACCAACCCTCAGAGCACCCCACTCAGTCCCATCCCCTTATAACCTACCTATTTACACATCCCTGAACACTGCAGGCAATTTAGCATGACCAATCCACCTAGCCTGCACATCTTTGGATTGTGGGAGGAAACTGGAGCACCCGGGGAAACCCACGGAGACACAGGGAGAACGTGCAAACTCCACACAGTCGCCCGAGGGAGGTATTGAACCGGGTCCCTGACACTGAGAGGCAGCAGTGCTAACCACTGAGCCACCGTGCCACCCCCAGTAATAACCTTCAGCAATAATTTGAAGTTATTTTTAAATACAATGAATGTAGACAAGAATATCTAGTTAACACTTCTTTGTTTTGCCATTCATGCCGTAAGCCTGTTAGTTCAAAGAAAACGTACAACAATGAAAATTAACATGTCCCTACAGATTTGCCTTGGAGGAAATACCATCCAAACCA